GAAAACTGTTCCCAAGCCAGAGTCAAATGATGGACAAGTGAGTGCAAAGTTGGAGGAATTGACATCATTTTCAAAAGCATTGCTCAGTAGAACAAAGTTGCTCTCTGTGCTAAATAAAGGAAGAGAGAGTGATGTCAGGAGAGAAAATACTGACACTTCATCAGACACTGAATCAATTTCTTCCCCAGGGCTATGATGTACTGAAATGATGGGAGCCTGATTAAGCACAGCTTTCTATGAGCTATTTTTTAAATGGCAGCCTTCTTGCAAGGACGGCTAGCTCTAACACATTCATCCAATTTGCTTTAATGGAGCACATACCCTTGTCCAGTCTAAAACATTTGCCACTTTAATTTCCCATAATTAAGAGCCAAACTGTCTCAGCTCCAGCTCTTATCAGGATTAAAGAACTTGTATCTGAATGTCACCCTGACTATCACTAGTCAGCATGTCACATTGGAAAGCACCTATTTTAAAATAAACTGACCGACAAACCACAGACTTCTTTTATCTAGTGTCATCTGGGAGTTTTCCATCTATGAAATGTAACTTTAAGGTAATTATACCAATACCATTTTTTAAACAAACATCAGGATCTATACCTAAAAATGAGCTTTTTTTCTCCTTCAGAATAAATACACTTATTCCAGTGGTGCTTCCTTTGCTCAAAGCATTTTCAGGATCCTTTATGAAGGCTCTGGTGCTGAATCTTAGGAAAATAGTATCATAGATTTAGAGCTCGAAGGGACCTGAAAAGCTGTCAAGTCTGAACCCACTTTACAAATGAGGAAAGTGAGGCCTAGAAGCCTAGACTTGCCCAGGGTCACACAGTCAGTATTTTGCTTGTTTGGATCAGCTTCCCAGTGCACCAGTTTCTCCTCAGGACCAGCCTAGGAACTTTGCCTTCAGCCCCAGGACTTCCACTTTTCACATTAATTTTGAAACTTTCTTTATCATTAAACTTTATTCAAGGCACCAAGCCTCTGAACATTAAGGGTCCTAAAGTCCTCTAAGCATCTTGGGCTCAGAGATCTACCCCCACTCAATTCCTAATTAGCTTTTCCATTTGCCTGCCACTGTTGCTATATCCAAAACAGGATGACCAGTCCTGATGTCTGTTCTTTTTTTACCCCTTCTATTCCCTTCCACACATTATCCAGACCACAAAAGTTTTTTTTTAATCAAGCAATAAACATTTATTAAGCACCTACTATGTTCTAGGCAATGTGCTAAGCATTGTGGATACAAATATGAAAAAAAAAGACAATCCCTGCCCTCAAGGGGCCTACAATCTAATGGGGGAAAGATGACACACAAAAGGGATGCTTGAGTCCCCCTCATGACCCCTGAGAACTTTCTAGCATTGGGGAGAGGGACAAATGTGCCAAATGTACACAACTGATTTGATGAGGATAGCAAAGATTTAGCGGGGGGGAGGGGGGTAAGAAAAGCTATAGAGCATTTACAGAGCTGCTCCTGGTCAATGCTGAAGGACTCAAGCACCTTAGGGATGATGAAACAATCCCCTTATTGGCCACTGAGCTGATTCACTGGATCTTTATTTTCTTTTTCCTCTTTCTAGTTTTTCATTTAAGTGTGTACAGAAGAGTATGTTGTGTTGTAGTACCTGAAAGAAAAATTATAAGACACAGTCGCTAGTCAACAGATTTTTTTTTTACTTTCAGTGCAAAGGAACTACATAGAGAGATGGTTTCTTTGAGTATTCAATCAACTTGATTTTCCTAGGGGACTTCTATGCAGAAAAGCAGCAAAATCAATGGAAATGCCGACTGTATTCTGATCAGCTAAACTAATAAGGTACAAGAATACATAAAAACAAATTCACAGTTAAGAAACATCTTCTTTGAAAGAAATAGGTGATATGCGGTGCTCACAATTTGAACAGGATATAGATCACATATAGCATAGGCAATCAACTATAAAAGAAAACATTTGTTCTGTAACCAGGGTTAAGCCTGGTACATTTGTCTAAGGTTCTCTTCATTGGTGAAGAGAATAATTACCCCATGCTGCATCAGTGCAGGCAGAGTTGATGAAAGCCTGAGAGAAAAAAGGTCTTTTTGCTTCTAACTTTGGGAGAGAACTTACTTGGTTCCAGGCTCTCTTCAAAAACAGTGCCCTAGAGGGAAAGAAAGCCTTTGGGAGAACGCCAACAAGCTTTCAACGCTTCAATATGTCCTGATTTCCAGCTTGCCTCCCTAGAGTCTTTGGGGAATTTCCCATTGGATGAGGTCAGGAACTCTTAATTTGAGCTGTACATCTTGCTCCAAAGGAAGACCTCATTTGCTCTGTGTGTTATCTGGTATTTTCTAATCCATATAACATTTTTGATTTCTGTTTGCTATTGCTTTGTATATATGGGCATATTCTCTATTAATTACTCTTGAAGGTCTTAGTGTAAATGGCATTTGGTGAGAAGGAAGTCAAGCCTTCAGATCTTCCCTGACAGTAACCAAGAAAGTGACTTGAACCTAAAAATCATTTCTCCTGGACTAGAAATATTTCATGGAACAGTTATATATAATTCTAGCTCTAGCTTCCTATCCCCTCTCTAAGGTACAACATTATGGCTCCAATCTCCTGCTACTCTAGTTAGGAGTCAAAGACTTCCTTGGAGTGGGATAAGTGAAAATATCTCTACACATATCCCTACAAGTCACACTTAAACAAACCTATGTGGACATATGCATAACCCATGTGGGCAAAGCACATGTACAGTTCAAAAAGTATATATAATATAGGGAAGTTTTTTGGTTTAGTTTTTTTATATACTATTATACTTTTTCTTCTGCTTTCTTATCAAACTCCAGGAATCTTGTGATTTCTTAAAACCAAAACGGAATTCCTTAGGTTACAATTTAGCTAAACTCTATTTCAGTTTCTAGAGACCATGAATGATGGAAATGAGAATATGCAAATTCAGAAATAATACATTATAAGATAATTAGAAGTATAAAAAACTACTCAGGTCCAGACAAGATTATATGGGTCTCACTTCATCCATGATCCCCGATAGTCATGGTGGGGTGTGATTTTCTTATGGCCTCAAAATAAGGTTTTGTTTCTACCTCAATGTCCCTTTAATTTCAGGTTTTCCTGTTTCATTTACTCATTCTACAAATCCAGATTCATTATCCACCAAAAAGGAATGCTCTTGATGCATGGGGTGCCACTCATATTATTGCTCAGATAACTAGAAATGTGTTTGTCCCTCCACCTCAAAGAAGAGGAGCTAAAAAAAAAATCTATCACATACACTTAGTTCTCATCCCCTCAAAAATAGAATATATCACCACTACAAAAGTGCACAAGGATGAATCTTTCAGGATATTAGAATTTCCATCAGAGCCTGTGACAATTTCTGAGTTTCCTCACTGATAGGAAACTTTCATTTTTTAAGGGAAGATTTTATTGTTGTGATTTTTCTTCTGAAACCTTTGTTATTAGACATAACTTTTTGTCACTGTCAATGTGCTTGCTTTGATCAATGGCCCCTCCTCCATAATTTCTAATATTCCGTGAACTGAAAAGACATATTACCAGACTTGTTAGAATTGTGCATCAAGTAAGAGTAAACAAATGTTGAGTAAATGCCTGAGGGATTCCTACAACTAAAGTTTAAGAACCTCACGAGCTCTATGTCAGCAGCCAAAACGTCTTCATTTCTAGGTGGCTGTATTCCAGTTCATTGAGGTTGTTTGATTCAAGTGATAGACAGAGATGGAGATATGCACGCATGTATACATATCTATTTTTTAATCAGTTACAGTTTATATCCCCATGTTTGCATTCCACAATATTACTTTTTCCTGACTTTTAAGTGAAAAATATTTGAAAGTATTTCCTTTTATTTTCAAAATATTCTCTAATGCCCCCACTCCAAATACCCACCCCTGCCATAACTACAGAGCCAGAAGAGCAGCTGGCCTGGAAGGACCTTAAAGAGACTTACTCTACCTCTTGGCTACATTTCCCAGAAATGGGAACTGAAGGTCTCAGGAACAGCAAAACACTTGAAGTAGAAAGGCAAATGGGCTTCCTTGCCTGGGCCTCTCTCTCTTGGGGTGCATTTGCCTGCTCCATGAGCAACAAGCCAGCAACAGCAACATACAGAGGTCCATTTTCTCCATGGATTTCCTTGATCTCTTTGGTCAGTCAGCAACTTTCTTCTCTTTCAGGAGTTGGACAGAACTTTGCTTTTATCCCCCTGTATGTATTTAATGCATTTACTCATGCAATATTCTGGCCTACAATTATTCCTCTCTGTGTCATCTCCACTTTGTTGTTCAGTTGTTTCAGTCATGTCCAACTCTTCATGACCCCATTTGGGGTTTTCTTGTCAGAGATACTGGAGTGGTTTGCCATTTCCTTCTCCAGCTCATTTTACAGATGAGGAAACTGAGGCAAATGGGGTTAAGTGACTCGGCCAGACACAGCTAGTGTCTGAGGCTGGATTTGAACTCAGGAAAACAAGTCTACCTAACTTCAGGCCTGGAACTCTATCCACTGTACCACCTAGCCCCCTCATCTCTACTTACTAGACTATAAATTCCATGAGATCAGGAGCCACATTTTATTTAGATTTTGTACATCCCCAGCTCCTAACACAGTATTCTGTATACAGTGTTCACTAAATATTTTTTAACTGAACTTTAGTTGAAGGTTTCTAACAAGTATGCCAAAAAGATCTTGGTGTATTGTGAATTTTTTGTGAATGAGACTATGATTTAGACTGCAGACTATCTGCTTATGTGCTAATAGGGGCAAAAGGGAGGAGAAGGGGGATGTAGCTTTCATTTTTCAATTTTTAAATATTTGTAAGTACAAATAAACTCATTAGTATTGCACAAATATGAGGGAATACTTCTAGACAAATTATATTATTGATACAACCACATCTAGAATGACATTTGTCACTTATTATGTTGTCTGTAACACACTGATAATTTTTATGAATAAAAAATATAAAGTCTAATATATTCTTTTCAAAAGTCATTTTTATTTCTATAGATTTTACCCTTCACATATTTACAAGGATTAGTCTATAAACCTGAAGTAAATTTACAAGCATGAACTAAATAGGAAAGAATGAGCATCACTAAACTGAGTACACTGAAACTTTAATGGTGCACAAATGGACTACAAGTGTTAATGCAGCTTCCCAGGTACCTAAACCACACTCATGAGAACTTGGCCCAGTAGTATTCACTATTAATGATCTCAGCCACTGCAAATGTATCTGTTGCTAATTTCAAACCTAAATGACATATTAAAAGTCAATTTAAAGAAGCTTTTAAATTTCTTAACTGAAAAAATCAAGCATAATTAGTGTGTGTACTATAATATATACTATATATATACTATATTGGAATTATATCTAGGATGTACACACTAATGCTTTTAATGATTACCATGCTCCAGACCACTTTTAATAGGCACCTCAAATACACACATATGTGTGTGTTGACAGGAGTCACACACATATGCTCATGCACATACACAAACAGAATAGTGGGAAATGTAATAATTTACCTAAACAGTCCTGATCACATTACTCTTAAGCCACTTGCAAACTGTTAAATGACTTATGACATTTCTACTCCTCGATTGAAGTATGCGGATTTTTGCATGTCAGAGATTCACAAAGAGAATTATAATCAAGTATGGACTAAAACAACGAAAAGTAATCTACCTAATTTTTTTTTCCCAAATGGGGCCTCAGCAAGTTTTTTTTATATTAATGAACTCTATTCAAAACATTTTATACATGTCCTGTAGTTTTAGGCTTATAATTGTAGTTTGGTCTTAAGAAGCCCAAGCTGCCAGGTGTTTTATGTCATCTTCATCTTCTTTCCTCCTGGAAGATGCTGTAGTTTAAAAAACAAACAAACAAAAAAAACATGTAAATCAGTGATTGAGGAACTGCTGCATGGATCAAAAATCGTATATGTTCAAAAAAATCTCATTAGATATTTAGGTACTTGTCAACATTTAGGTAATCTCTAAGTCCTTTATATTGGAATGTTTCATATAGGTTGGATATGGAAAGTTGGGTATTTCTTAGAGAACCAATTAATTCCCAAGAGTTTAGCTGGAAGCATACCTGCTCGGGATCGATGTGAGGTGGATGGTACACTTGGCAGCCTACTAGGGTGGGCTGGCAGCGAGGTAGAGGGTACATTTGGAAGTCTGATATTTCTCATCTTCTTATTTAATTCCTCCTGCTCCAATTCTTCAAGTTCTGCCATCAACTCATCCTGAGCACAAGTGAAACAAAGAATAGCAGATTTAATGTCTGAAGACGTGGGTTGGCTCATACACAATAACAGGAACATCTGCTTTCTAAATTGATATGTGAAAATTCAATGAAATGGAATTTTTATTTTAAAGCTAAACTCTTCTTACAACATTGAGCAATAATTAAAAATGAATATTTTGGGGTTTTGCAAATTTGATGTGGTTAATCTTATGATACTTCAGTAAACAGCCATTCAAATCATTCATGCTAAGGGAACACATAACCTCACTAGTTTCTGGAAAGAGTTTGCACCTGCCAGTTAATTTGTTCAACGGACCACTTCTATCCTCCTATTTAGAAGAAATAATTTTAGCAAGAACAGTCTTAGAGGCCTGCTATGGCAGAATGGAAAAGTCAAGTAAAATCCACAAGAATTTATTAAGCACCTACTATGTGCCAGGCCCTATGCTAAGTACTAGGGACATAAAGAAAGGAAAAAGACAGTGTCTGCTCTCAAGGAGATTCACAACTTAAAATCATAAGACTTGGGTTTAAATCTTGTCTCTGACACAGCAATATGACCAAGTTACCTCTCCTCTCTGAGCCTCAGTTTCTTTACCTGAAAAATGGAACTAATAATGCCTTCCCTGCCCATCTCATAAGGTTGCTGTAAGGATTACGTTCATTTGACCTGATGGAATAGTTCCTTCTGAAATATCCCTGATCTAGTCTGAAATACATTGATTTCAGCCAAAATTTCAAAAATATATCTATTTGAATGATTGTTTCCAAAGGAAAGTATTTTGTTTGAAAAGGAATAAGATTATAAAATAGTATAGACATTGGTGAAATATCATGTTGGAGCCTATGTATTTTGATGTTTAGTGTTAAGGAGGTCATGAAGCTGACTATAAATGCCATATGGATGAACAACAGACGAGACGGGTAAGAAAAAAGCAGAAGAGTCCCTATTCCTTCCACCAAAACTTATTTCAATTTCTTAATGATCTGTGATTTTGACACTGTGAACACACTATCCCTACCCAATACAGACTCTACAACTCCCTATTCCTTCATCTATGGTCTTCTCTCCCTCCTCATCTCCACTTCTCAGCTTCTCAGACTTCCTACAAGTTTCAGCTAAAGTCCTGCCTTCAGCAAGCAGCCTTTCCCAGTCCTCCTCCTTAATCCTAGAGCCTTCCCTCCAATTTATCCTGGACTTTTGGGACACTTTAATACACACACACACACACATACACACACACACACACACACACACGTACATTTATACACACATGTGGCATTGAATTATATATGTGAGCATTTGTGTACATGTGTGAGTATGTACATATATGCACACACATACATACACACTTACATACACACACTCATGCTATATACAAATAAGCAACATACAAGGAATTCATTCCATTTTGGACACCTTGAATTGCTAGGAAGTTTCTCCTTGTTCTGCTCTCTGAAGAAGTATAGAAGTCTAATCCTTCTTTCACATGACAGCCCTTCAGTGTTTTGAAGACAACAGTTCTGTCCTCCTGGGTCTTAGAATAAAAAGTAAATTTTAAAAATGTTTAAAAAAAGGTCTCTGGAATAAATATGCCTGCTTCTTTCAAGTGATTCTTGTATGATAAAACTATTAGGAATAAATAAAGCAACAAGAGAACATATTATGGTCACAGGTTATATGAGTTCCCATAGTTGCAAATAATGCTTCATTATTTATCATAGTAAACAAAAGACATTATCACGCTATTAACAAATGCTACCTTTAAAATCATATCTTGATGTCTCATCATGACATAGTGATATTGAGTTCTTAAAAATAATGCTAAAGAAACCTAAGCTTTTATGCACCCAACAAAGTTAGAAAGGCTTCGACTACGGACCCAGTGACGGACTGTATATTTGTTGTCTGAAGAGCAGCCTAGCTCCATGCAGAAGGTTAAACCTGAGATGTTAAATATAGGGGTTGGATATGGAGGTTCTTCAAGTTATAAAGACTGTCTCCTAAAATTTGGAGGATGTGCTATATACATCAATGGAGGGAGTAACCAGATCAATGAAATCACATATCTTTGAAGTACTGGAGAAGAATTAAGAAACACAATAGAAGAAAAAAATCATAGTATCTATTAGTCTAGTGCTTTGCAAATCACCTATTATAGAATTTCTGAGTTAAAAGGGAAAAATGAAATCACATAGTTCAACACTTCATTTTATAGACAAGGAAACAAGAGATCCAGAGAGGTTAAGTGATTTGTCTGAGTCACAGTTTGAGGTGACTAGTGGCAGAACTGGATCTTGAACCCAGATATCCTGACTCCCATTTCCCTTTTCTCTCCATCTAGCCATGCTGACAGACATTAGATGTCTACATAGGCTATAGAAGTCATTAGTCCCCCCTTCTTACTCTCCTGGTTTCTATGGATATTATTTCTTGGGAGCTAGATTGTTCTTTTTGGATATGAAATGTTATTTTCACTAATAATCATGTGAATGTCATGTGGTTACAGATTTTTTTTGTTGTGCTCTTACAATCAATATTTTTAAAATCTTGTACATATACTGTGATATATATGTGTACTTGGAACAGAATAGCTGAAATCTCACACTATAGCCATTTATAATTATAGTCTGTGTTATTGGACTGATTAGTTTTAATGGGACATATTTATTAATAATGCCACTCCACATGTATTTAGTTCCATACACTAAGAAATAAACACAGTCAGCTTAACCCTCTAATTCCCAATGCTCTTTAGCTACTAAGTCTCCCCCTTGCAGACTGACCCAATCTGAACTATGTTTTGCCCAGATGTGAAAGTACTCTTTTCCTTTTAATGGAGCATTTTAGATTTCAATCACAAGAAGTCCTTAACTTATTTGCATAATTACATCCTGATTTGTCCTGATTGTAAAAGCCAAAAGCTTAATTGGCAGGCTGATTGCCAAAATGTACTTGTTTTTTCTTTAAATAAAATACTCCCAGGACTCTTTCTTTTTCTTACTTGCAAAAATAAGTCTATAACAAATATGTTGAACATAGTATGGCATAAAAGACAAAGATTTCACCTCAGAGTCAATTAGATCTGGGTTCAACATCTCCCTCTGACATATACTAGCTATGTGGTAAGCCATGTCACTCAATGTCACTTAAGCAAGCCACTTAATCTCACAGTGATTTAGGAAACTCTCTAAGTTGCAAAGCAGGTACCAATTTGCATTGGTAGAGAGAGTTTTCTTATGCAGAATTCTTTATACCAATGAAATCCCAGTCCAAAATCCTAGTCCAAAATAGAAAATTAAAAGTATGTTGAATTGATAAATACTTTAAAAAGAAATCATTTGCATACTCTGAATGGTGAGAAGGTTTCAGAAGATGGATCTTCTGAAGGCATTGACATTTACAATGGACTCAGCTCTAATTTCCATTTTGTTGTGTTACTAACCTCATCAAAATCGTCACTAAATCCAACTCGCTGAGAAAATGCTTCCGAGATTTCCTGGGCGATGTCTTGCTGCTCTGTAATCTCTTGCATCAGATCATCTATTTTGTTAATGTCCCTGGGGAAATAATTTTTATTGAAATATTTTGAGTTTTCAGTTTAAAGTTATGAATTTAAACATAACTCTACGTGAAAAATGAACCCATTTACTTTAAAGTCTTTGATATTTCACCAACCTCCTGCAGTCAGAGCATATAAACAATATTAATTTTTATAAAATCAACTTTCTAAAAATACTTGCATTATAAAAGAAAAACCTTGCCTGAACAAGCATAAATACTTCCCAAATGGCCTCTGCATTTGGGGAATGAGGTCATTTAGGAATTTTAAAAAGGAAGCTTCTTGTGATAAAGATCAATTAATTTTGTAAATAACACAAGGCAATATATCCTTTCTATAGTTCAGTTGGGGAGAAAAAGAGGAGAAATTTAAATTTGAGACACTTATGACAAAACATCATTTGGGGAATTCAGCTTTTTGTTAGATTGTTGTTATAAGTTACCAGGTACCATTCCATTTAGGTGACATCATAAGTGGCAGTTCTTGCCAGTCATTACCAGGAAGCAGTCACTAATAGAAACATATGGGACAATGCAAGAATGTCCTTTACAGATACTGATTGCTCAGGGACCTTAGTTAATTGTGTAGACCTCTCAGTCATCACTAATGCCACTGGCAAGTTAATTACAGATTCCATACAGACCTGCTTTAGATCTATGATCTTGAGATCTAATGATCTCTGAATGATCTCAGCACTCGTAATACAAGCATTCAAATGTCCACTCTGCTAGGGTGTACAGTACATCAGGACACATAATATGGTAAGGGCTTTCCAGTCCCTAGGCTCCCATACAAGGGACTTGGCAACCTGAAGCCTGACATTATCTAAATGCTATGGATCCCAAATTAATTCTACATGATCCTAGATGTGAATCATGTACTTGGCAAACCTAAGCAAGTCTAAGGATTTTTTTTAATCAACTAATCATATATGCAGGGGAAGTGATTATTCTTCTCCCCCATGTGAGTACTGTTGTGTTGGGAATATGTTAACAGATGCTGCCCCAAACTACTAATGTAATGAACCAATTGCAACAGTCCTAGTTTCTAGGGTTGTTATATAAAATGTTTGGGAATAACCATGGAGAGAATATGGGAGGTAGAAACAGGAAGGGGATAATATTTGACTCAGGAGATGAGTTAAAACATAGAGGGCAATCTGGGGCAATGCTAAGTTTGGACACTGTCAGGGAAGGAGTGGAAGCTAGTTGTCATCTGTAATTGCAATATTTAGCTTCTAATTATAGTATCTATTTTAGAATACAGGATGCACCAGTGTCATTACGGCATTCTGACTTTGATAAATAAGTAGAATGTTCTCTCCATGGTTGTCAAAATGGCAAGTCAAACTGATTGTTAAGAAAGTTATAATGCCTAACTATGGGAACATCCTAGCCTTCCCTTTTCTCTGTTCTCCTACTTTGTGGTAACTGAAATAGCCTCTCTCAAGTGGCCTGTACTCCAGACTCTCTCTAACCCTCCTCTCCATCAAAATATGCTCTGAAAAAAATTAGACATATCACTCACGTCCTAGTATGAATTTAAATGTATTTGCTACTTCTTTCAATATTTAGATTTTAAAGCTTATCTGTAATTATAAAACATTTCTCAACACCACCCCCCCACATTGGTTAAAAGTCATTTCAGCAAAAAAGTGGAGGAGAGGCAAAGAGTAGAATATTCCTGGCCTCTGGAATCATACCATAGAATAGGCAACTTTCTAATCCGCCCAGGTATAATGGGCATCCTGAAAACTGAGTTTCTTTTGTTTTGTTTTTTCCCCCTTCTAATAGAGTATTCAATTCAGGATATATTGCATTGGGTTTATTGGAGAATATGCCAGATCACCTCGGCACAGATGAAACCCATTCTGCTTAAAGTTAGCCACTTGTTCCTTCCTAAGAATAACTTCCAGAGCAGTAATTACTGGCTGGGAAAGAAAACCAAAACCACTCACATATTTTCATGAACTGCTTTCATGGCTTTTGCAGCAAAGCCCATGTTCCTTAATACTTCTGTGTTGGTATGGGAATTTTCCAGGGCTTCTCTCTGGAACTCAATGGTTGAAAGTGTGCCATCAATCTGAGTTAACTGTTTCTCGAACCTCTTCTTTCTCTTTAGTGCCTGTAATGCCGCTAGGTAAAGAAGAAGTCAAGTTTAGAAAGCCAGAGGCCATTTCATCAATTCAACAACTACTTATTGAGTGTTTACCCAGCACTCAGCATGGTGGATTCAGCAACCAGAGTATGTAGATATTTGAAAATAAAATTTGTCTTTTCTACCATATCTCCCATTTCAAAGAGATAGGGAGTAGAAAAATGACCTGCCCAGGTCACTAAAAATGAAGTGACCTGCCCAGGGTCACACAGCCACTGTATCAAAGGCAGGACTTGAGTCATGTCTGGCTAGTTCTGAGACTATCTACTATGCCTCTCATAGAATTCCTCCATTTCATAGGATCATCGATTTAGAATTGGAAAGGACCTAGGAGGTCATCTAGTCCAACTCAATAATTTTACAGATGAGGAAACTGAGGCCCAGAGAAGTTAAATTACTTGCCTCAGATCATACAGGTAGTAAGTGATGTTGTTGAGGTTCAAACTTATGTCCTGTGACTTCAAATCTAGCACTCTGCACCACATCACACTTCCTCTTTCTCCCCTGCCTTCATTCATATCATTCTTGCAAAGAACTAACAAATAAAAAAGAAGACAAGGAAGCAAGTCTCTTTTACCATAAAAGACACAATGGAAAGGACACAGCATAGCCCATAGACTTTATCATGGTTCCCTCCAATAATGCATATGACAATCCTTCTTTGCCTTAGTAGACAATCTTTCTTGAGCTGCTGTAACCAAAACATGTTATCACCTGATGGCCAACATTCAGCTTCTTTGAAATTGTCTAGGCAAGTACTTAGACAACAGACATGCTTACAGACTTGGAATCTATCACCAAGCCTATAGATAAGAGCTTTCCAGCAGGGGAGACCTGCCAGAACTTGAGCTCTGTTGGCATAGCTTTTGAGAACCCAAGATCACCTCCACATTATGATGCGGCTTCTAAGGAGAGATTCCATGAAGGTTGATTTTATATTGAAATATTTCTTAGTGTTGCCATTTCTTAGATTAGTTAGACCTATTCAAAGAGAGTGGATTGTGAAGGAATATGTGTGAAAACAACTAGAAACTGAATAACAAAGACTGTTGTGAACCCCATAAAAGACTTGAAGATGTTAAATTGTTTGGTTTCACTGCCAGCCCTGTAAAATGATTTCCAGTAGAGAGACCACTGGAGAAGAATGATAAATGAATGAATGAGAATTTAAGGAACAAAAATGAAGATAAAGTGTAAACAGAGTGTGTGTGTGTGTGTGTGTGTGTGTGTGTGTGTGTGTGTGCGCGCGCATGCTGGATGACAAGAAGAATAATTCCCCTTCTATATCCAATTAATTGATTTTTTTAAAAAAACTCTTAGATCTTTTCAGGTTTTCCAAGCACATGATTCACATCTAGAGACCTACAGAGAATTTGAAGAAAATGTGGCCAGAACTGGAAATGTAATGAGATATATGTTGGGGGGGGGAGAATAAAAATGACCACAAGATTTTATTCTTCCCAGATTATTCAATCAACAAGCATTTATTGAATGCTTGCTTTGTGTAAAGCACTGGAGATAAAAAGACAGGCCAAAATATAGATCCTGCTCGCAGGGAGCTGCCATTCTACTGGGGGAAAGAGCAAGTAAACAACTGTGTACATACAAAATATATGTAGCATAAAATGGGAAGTAATTTCATAGATAAGGCTCTGGGGGAAGGAGCTGGGGAGAAGGGGTAAGCTTCTTGCAGGAGACAGAACTTCAGGTGAGTCTTGAAGGAAGTCCAGAAGAAAGATATATTACAGTTAATCAAGAAATGGGAAAAAGATGGTTATTGCAATCCATCTAAGATTTAATGAGACTTCACGGAAGAATTAGACCTGCCACAAATAATATGAACAAGTAGTTTTCAGATGAAGAAATCAAAGATATCTATAGGCATATGAAGAAGTGCTCTAAATCACTTTTGATTAGAGAAATACAAATTAAAACAACTCTGAAATACCACATCACACCAATCAGATTGGCTAATATGACAAAAAAGGAAAATGATAAATGTTGGAGAAGATACGGGAAAATTGGGACACTAATGCATTGTTGGAGTCAAAATTGCTCCAACCCTTCTGGAGGGCAATTTGGAGCTACGCGAAAAGGGTAACCAAACTGTGCATACCTTTTGATCCAGTAATACCAGTGCTAAGTCTGTACCTCAAAGAGATCATAAAAAAGAGAAAAGGACCTACATGTGCAAAAATATTTATGGCAGCCTTATTCATGGTGGCAAAATATTGGAGATGTCTGTATATTGAGATGTCCATCAATTGGAGAACAGTTGAACAAGTTGTGGTATATAAATGTAATTGAATACTGTTGTGCAATAAGAAATGATGAACAGGCATGTTTCAGAAAAACCTGGAAAGACTTGCACAAACTGATGCAAAGTGGAATGAGGAGAACCAGAAAAACATTGTACATAGTATCAGCAATATCATTTGATGATCAACTATGAGTGACTTAGCTTTTCTCAGCAACGCAATGATCTGAGACAAGTACAAAGGACTCACGAAGGAAAATGTTATCCACATTCAGATAAAGAACTGATGGACTCCGAATGCACATCAAAGCAAAATTTTTTCACTTACTTCATTCCTTCTTCTGTTTTTTTCTTTTGATCTGTTTCTTCTTCCACAACTGCGATGAATATTGAAATATGTTTTACATGATAGCATATGTATAAACTATATCAAACTGCCTACCATTTTCAGAAGAGGAAAGGAGAAGGAGAAAGGGAGAAAAATTTGGAACTCAAAATCTTGTAAAAATGAATGCTAAAAATTTTCTTGATATGTAATTGGGGGAAAAATACTTAAAACAAAAGAAAAAAGAAAAAGAAAGAATTAGACCTGCCATTCTTAGACCTGCCAAGTTCTTCCTGACTGAGATCTGTCCTCTATCCACTATACCATGTTGCCTCTCTTAGACTCCCCTTAAATATGTTGAATAAAAGCCTTATGTTTTCATCACAGAATGCTTCTGACTCATAATAGCAATTTGACCCTGTGTTGGAGTGGCAACTCTTTAAGATGAAAACTTGCTGAACAGTTATCATCTTTGTTGGGAGTCTTTTTAATGAAGGTTATATGGCTTAACTAGATATATCCAAGGCCAGAAATATGGAAAAGAATCAAAAGATTATAGATTTAGAGCCAGAAGGAAACTTAGTGATCATGAAGTCCAACCCCTTCATTTTACACATGAGGAAATTGAGGTACAGCAAAACTAAATGTCCTAGGGGGCAGCTAGGTGGCACAGTGGATAGAGCACCACCCTGGAGTTAGGAGCACCTGCGTTCAAATCCAGCCTCAGACACATAACACTTACTAGCTCTGTAACTCTGGGCAAGTCGCTTACCCCCAATTGCCTCACACATGCACAAAAAAAATAAATTTTTAAACCCTAAATGTCCTTAGCTTTGTGACTTGTCCAGGGTCCCACTGTCTTGGGCAGGATTTGAGGTATTTTGGACTTCAAATGCAATGTCCTGTCTCCTACCTCATACTATGATAATGATAGCATGTGCATTAATAAAAGTATACAACATAATAATAATAGCATTTATATAGCACTTATTTAAGGTTTACAAAGTACTTTACAAAAAGTGTCTCATTTTATCTTCACAACAACCCTGGGAGATAGGTGCTATTAACATTGCCATTTTATAAGTGAGAAAACTGAGTCAGGCAGAATTGACTTGCCCAGGATCGTACAGTTAGTAAGGATCTGAGGCTGACTTTGAATTTAGGTTTTCCTGACTCCAAATCCAGCACTCTATCCACTGTGCCACCTAGGTGCTATCACAAGAAGGACACTACGGCAGCACCTGAACCGCAAATTGAGACAGAAAATATCTACAACTAGGGCTGGTCCTACAAGGTCCTACAAGAGGTGAAGTTTATGCACCAAGTTCTTTCCATCCCTCCCAAATTATTGTCCCAGACAACAGAGCAATTAGGGAATGTGGAGGAGACCCAAGTGTTTTGTAGAGATTTGTGGGGTCTCACTCTGCCTCTGATATAAGGCACAATGCTCCAATTAAGTGAGACTGGTTGGAAAACTAAAGTTGCCAGCATGGACGGTTCCAGGAAAAGAAGTTTCTAGCAAATTGAGAAGAGGCCAGGCAGAAGAAAAGGATGTTTCTAAAGCAGAGATAGCTTGTTGCAAGAAAAATTAGGCCACCAAAATTAAAGGTTTTTAAGATTACCACATTGACCTGGGTAAGAAATATTAATATTGTACTGAAAACAAAAGTAAAAGATATACCCCTTCCCCCCAAAAAAAAAAAATCTTTCTAGGATGTATTCTGGATTCCAAACCCAGGCTCTTAGATCTTCTATGTATTTATATAATATACATGAGCCAAGATTCTAGAATAGATATTAAAAGGGACAAAATTTAAATTTCAAGGGATAAAATAAAAAATTAAATAAATAAATATTAAGCATATTTATATTAATATAAATATAAATCAGAAAATTGATACATAAAATCACAAGATCTTAGCATTATAAAGGACCTTAGAAGTCATGTATTTATCATCTAACCTTCCACCCCATGCACAAATTTCCTCTACAATATCTGACACATGATCATGTATCTTTTAATTGAAACTAACAAGAATCCACACAATATAGATGGAAGTTCATGACAAAACTTATGAAGTTGAAAAAGTTCATTTTCAAAGGTCCTCCCTCCATTTCTCTTTTCACCCTTTCTTCCTCCCACTTCCTTGAAGCCCTAAGGGGCTCCCACTGTTCCACTCTCTTGAGATCTATCCTCCCCAAAATTGAATGTCCCATGCCTGGAATCCTTTCGGACCCCCATTGTCCTGTCAAAATTTAGCTGTATTGTGCTCCATTCCCTCCAGACCTTGTTTCTGCTAGGAATTCTCTGGCCAATTAATAAAATATTAATTGTTCAAGGTGGTTTGATGCATTAAACCCCTCAAATAACCAATTAGGAAAGGCAATATTACGTG